AACACAGGTTGGTCTTGAATGTAACCACATGTTATTTATTAAGTCCAATTTCTATTGATAAAACATGCTGAATTACAATTGTAAACATCTTTCTGAATTTTAACAGACCAATTTTAATGTACAATGGTATTTTTCATTTATTTCACATTGATTATTTTGATATAAATCACAATGTGTTGAGCTTATTGGGTAGTTTATTAAATTTAATGATGTAAAATATAAAGGGTTGTGTTTCTTCTTTGAGCCTTTTCTGTTTCTCAATTTTTTTTACGCTTTAAATTTTGAACTGTGAGCAGAACTGAGAATGATCGATCTTTGGATTTTTTAGCTTTTTCAACTTTTTACTAGGTTACTAGGTTTCATGTATGTTGTGTGTCGTTGCGTTCATGGCACAAATAAAGAATTGTGGAGAATATGTGTCTGAGTTGGCCTTTTCAGTCGCATGTATTAAGAGAGTAATAACACTACAGTTACAATGCTTGTTTCAATCCGATTGCGGTATCCAACTTAAACCTCGTAACATCTTGTTGTCAGTTCCCAAGACAAAGACATCTTCTTGTTACTTATCTATATGTATCCAAACTTACCTACATTCTTACACAATCGACGGACACATTACATAACCGTGATTTGGGAAAAAAACTTGATAAGCTCCCAGCACTAACTGCAAACTTAATGAAAACCAGGACATTTGGCAGCTTCTTCTTCAAACAATTTGGAATGTCGTTTTGGAATTTGGCACGTAGATCACTCATAATCCATAAATTTGATGATACAATTGGCTTTAGTGGATTTGCAGGAACCACAGACGTCTGACTGAAAATTGAAATGGTGCAAATTGATTGAAATACTGAATTTTGTTATGAGCATGAGTAATACTAACTTTTTTTTATTTTTATCCAAATATCGTGGTATGTATTTGTATATTCAAATTCTGAATTTGATGTACAAATTGAATCGTGAAGTGTGCATGCGCTACAGCAGTGCTTCACAACCTCAGTGAGATCATTCCTCCCCGGAAGAGCTCTTCCAAATCTATTCCTCCCTAAAATAAATCAGTCATTTTGAAACGTATTTCACACGAAAATGTATTCAAAAATTAACCATGAATGGATATAAATTCACACTCCACATATCGAGGTAGTTCAATGTGACCCTTGGGCCAAATGTCCGCGGTCAATGACGTCAATTGCAGTCTTAGATCACCTAGCCTCCCATTTCCTCCCCATTCCCCCTCCCCCTTTTGCAATAATTCCCCCCCCCCCTCCCAATTGGTCTTCCAATTCCTTCCTTGGCAATACTTCCTCCCCGTGGTCTTCCAGTTCCTCCCCTGTAGAGAAGCACGGCGCTAACGTTTTTAAAAAGTCTCAGAATGTCACACGAGAAGGATCGACCTGATCAGACTTGATCTCAAAGGTTGATTACAGATTTAAAAACTACAGATGTTACTTTGTGAATATATTGAGAGAGGGGCCACTTTGGTAAATATTTTGAGAGAGGGATCACTTCGGTGAATATGAAGATGATAGCGATGATCATAACCGCTACAAGTTCTTACTCTAACTCGAGATATTATTCATCAAAAATCCTGAAATAAGAATTTTAGTGAATGTACGCTGCCATCTTGAAAAATGCAACAAATCGAAAAAAATAAATGTAAGTTTAAAAATACCCAGGCCCTCTAGAAGCCCTTTTTTGAATTTCGACTTTGTCTTTTATAATTTCCTGTCAAAGGCCAGGGCACATTTCAAGTAATAATAACCCTTGACCATGAGCTTACACAACCTTACTTCACCATCTCCTTTATCTAGATTGTCATTTCTGGTCCTGTTTTTTATTTGGTACATTACCTTTTGATTTATTCGGACCTGAAAATGGATAATGTGCATATTTTTTTAATCTTGTATCATGTGAACTCATGTCAGCATCTAGTTTAATGTTATTGTAATGTGCCTGTGAATTACCGTTAAGGTCCCTCTCTACCTCATGCCAGAAATAGCATTGGACATCAGCATTAGCTAGGTTAATACCTAATTTGGTTTTGTAATAAAGTGCGCTTGCTTGTCATCTTCAGCACTTGAGGTAGGCCCCCAATCTGGATCACGAACTGATTCATCTAAAGGATATTCATCGTCGCCGATATCAGTTTGCTTGAGTGGTAATGATGGTTCTAACCTGCATTTAGCAATAGCATTCAGAGCAGAATCATATATAACTGTATCTCGTAAAATATTTATACATGTATTACGTTCGTCGTCAATAGCTTCAGATTCTATCAGTTGAAGTTGACAAGCAATTGTGGAGGGCAGATGACCATTGGTTGATGTACCTGGAAAGGCGTTTTTATATGAGAATTATAAGATTGCATCTGAAGTGATTTGGTCAGTTTTGTGACCGTATATCGTTCGAGAATTTGACATTTTCAACTCGGATATAGTCTCTTTTGACTGCCTCGAATCAGATTTTGATTCTGGGGTTGTGTTGACACCCGATGTAGCATTTTTCCTCTTGAATGATTTGAATTCATTTGAAGTTCTGGTAGTGAAGTCTACATGACAGTGAAACGATTAGATTAATATAATGGCTTTAATATGAAATTTGAGTAAATTTTGACTAACGAGGTTTCGGAAGTGTGTTTTACATTCTTGTTCGTACTATGAAGGAAACCCAATCGTAAAGTTTTTCAAATTTGAAACAAATTATTGAATGAATAGAAGTCATACATCCTATTTTTCTACAACCAAATATTGATGTTACGAATATAAAAATAAAAGAAAGATAAGGAAATTAATATCAGTCCAACTTATTGAGAAAGTTAAAACATTGTTGTTTCTTATCCCAGAGGTGTAACCTTGAGTTAACTAATATACAACAACCACAAGAATCCAATACTTAATAACGGGATGGAAAGAGGTTTTCTAATTTCTTTTCTGTGTAGCGGGGACACCAGCAGCATTTTCAATCAGACGATTGAGGTTCCTGCAATTCCACTAAAACTAAGCGTTTGATAAAGTCACTGATCGCAAAATATGCACGAGGAATTCGCGATTGAACAAACGGATTAATATAAGTTTCGGCTTGTTTCTGAAACCAAAGCTAATATATATCATGTAACGTATAATTTGTTATTTATGAGTAAATATTGTTAAAAAAAAACAAACAGTGTTAACAGTACGTTCAGCCATAAGCCAAGTTTATATTTTCTATCAGTCCACCATTTGGCAATAACGCTTTTACTCTTTCACCCATAAAATGACTAATATTACTAATCGTGTTGTATTTTCGTTCAGGTATAAATACTGGAGATCCACTAGAACCTGGACAAGTTTTACACGAATATTTTACACAGCTAACTTCCTTACATTGACAGTCTGTTCCTGGTTGTGTTATACGTCTTCCATGGAAATCAAACCGTTCTGGTGATCGCCCGATAAATCGTCCGAATGTAACCATTTTGATTCCACCATGAGGATGACCAATACAACATAAAGTATCACATGTAGATGTATTATTATTGACAGTCTCATTATACTGCTCTATTACTTTCGGTAGAGGATAAAAATCAAATAACCAAATATTAGGAGAAGCCTGTTGAACAGTTTCTTCTAAATCATCATCATCCATATCACTGAAAAACTCTCTAGATTTAACTTGTTGAAAATACAATCGCGTACCTTGAGCAATAACTTCACCATTCCACACTAATCTACATTTCTTAACTTCATCTTGGAAAATTGATTCGGAGATATTAACAACATAATCATTACTAAATTTTACAACATCACCTGGTATCACTCTACTATTACCATCATCCTCATCTATATGAATTTCAATACGAGTTAACTCCTGTATATTGGAAGGAATCGATTGAAATTTAAAATAAGAGCTTTTTAGATAACTGATTGTATTGTCATCCAAAGTAATGAATACCATTTCAATCTGAGGATTGTTCAAATTTTCAGAAGTATAATAAACAAGTTTTGGTGACTTAAAATAGAGCTCGGTGCGATATTGTTCAATGTTATTATTGCTGTACATTATAATAATTGATGAAGAGGAAAGGAGGGGGTCTATAACGTCCAGTTGATATACAAAATCAGGTACAGGATCGAACAAAAAGTATGAGAGATCTCTAAAAGGACATGTGTATACAAGTTCCACTCCTCTACAAGTCAATACATTTGACTCGTCGTGAGAATCATAGAAAAACTGGACAGTACAATTTTTAACTTCCTCGTCCGTTTTAACGATATGGTTATTGGTTTGAATACAAAATTCTTTACCATCAGAATGGACATACCCTGTCCCTGCTTCCTTTACCCATCTTCCATTTCTTATTTTATCTACCACCAATCTTGCAACATATTTTCCCCTTGTTTTAACACTCTCTAACGTCTCTATACTTCTTACTTCTTCTGGTAAATCTTCCAATGTTAAATCTTTAAATGGGATAAACCCTGAATGGCCAGGATTCTTGTGACATTTAAACTGATCTAAATCTTGTCCTTCCTGTAATATATCACCTTCTCTCGCCACCTCAATATCAACATCAGATTTAAACTCTTGTTCATCATGATAACACCGAGCCATTCTTAGTTCTTACAATCAAAGAAAACCTGAAAATATTAAAGAAGAAAAAGAAATCAAATATCATGGTCAATAAAGCTATGTATTTAATAAGTTATAATCTAACAATAAAATTCAAATAGGTCATATAAACTACCTTGACATAAAATTTATCATGCGTTTTTATTTACGGAAATTGTATCGATACAGATCAAAGTATAAAACTATTTAAGGGAAGAGCCCTCAACGATTTGCCTACAATACATATTTAGCGATTTACCAAAGCACTTATCCAAATCGACCAAATCGTGGCTCACAGCAAAACGACTTTTTTGAAATTCAAGATGGCGGGCAACATTGACAATAAGTAAAAACGTATTTTCGAGAATTCGTTCAAAGATAATAGAAATAAAGACATATTATTTTATCAGCGTTTCAAATTTTTTGACAACAAAGAGAAAGATCTGAACAAATTTTAATTGTACAATAATCAGTGTACTGGGATTATTGGAAAGTAAATAAAACTGGTTTTTATTCAGTAGAAAAGGCCATCAGCCCATAGTACAAATTCACAATATCATAAAATTTAGTAAGACAATATATAACAGTATGTACAATCTATCGAACAATATAAATATCTATAAGCTTTATACTGTATATCATTTATTATACATTGATAGTTCCTTTTCTTACGCTATATGCTCTGTTATTATTGTATATAGCTAAATTTCAATGGGTTTTCTATTTACAGTAGACCTTATTATCGTGCTTAAACCTAGCAATAGTAGACAACAATTTTGGACTGCGGAGAAGGAGTAGATTTTAGTAGATATGTGGTCGCAATCTGCCTCAATATTGTGTTGAACCCATCTTTGTCAACCCGGACATATCGCCATTGCTGGGTCGTCAGCCGACAGCTCCTGTACAAGGTTGCCGAACACACCCTACTCTTTACGACGTTGAATCCAGGTACGAACCCAAATGCTTCTATTTCGCCGTCTACGTTGGCGTCTTTTTAAAGTTAATAAAATAGCTAACGCAATTTTACATTTTCTTCTGGACGTTGCCATTTTGAGGTCATGTGATTTTCCGTGACACTGGCGTATTGTTCGAGCTAA